TTATATTGATTTGTGAGTATGTGTGCATGTGTAGACACACTGTATATATATATATATATATATGTGTGTGTGTGTGTATATATATGCATACGTTAAAAATATTATATATATATGTATGTGTGTATGTGTGTTAGAGAGTTAATTTTTAACTGAGAATGAGGATGATAGAGTTGAAAAAACCTTCAGTATGGCACTAGGGGAGGTCTCTCACTTTCTACCTTTGAATCTTCCATGGACCTGAGTTTCCTTACCTATAAAATAAACAGTTTGAACTAGATGATTTCCAAAAAAAAAAAAATCTTCCAGATCTAAATCTATGATTACATAATAATTCTAAAGGCAAATGAATCAGTTGAAGCCAACAATAACAAGTACAAAAAAATTAATTGTTAATAAGATTGAAGAAGTTTATTAAAATAAATTGAATCTCAGTTTTAATAAATCATAGCATAATTTCAGCATAAATGTTGTAATTGTTTTTTTTTCTTTTTAACTAATTCTTCACTGAATTACAATATCAGTGGAATGTGAACGATCTCTTGTAGGACACCAGAGTCTTATGAAGGCCCTTTCCAGCTCCAAATCTATGATCCTATTTGTGTACAATCTTACCAGGGAGCAGGAATTGAATTAATTAGCTAATCTCATAGTTTACACATAGTGAGTAGTTTATTCATTTTAATTACTATTTAATCAAGTGATATGAATTAGTTAATATAGTACAGCTTGAAAATCTGATAATATTTTCCTTGTCTTCTCTTAGTACTCTCATTAAAATTTACTATTATTTAATATAAAATTAGGCCTTTAGTAAGAAAAGCTATATTTCCTATAATTATATCTCCTAAATTTTGTAATTAATAGCATGACAGGCTTAAAAGAGCTGTCCTTATTATAGTTTGTCCTCTTTATTATCAAAATGCAAAAAGGTTTTTTTAAAGACAAACTATAACACCAAGAAATACTCTCTTTGAATTCATTTTTATGACATTCTATACAAAATAAATATTTTCAAACCAATATTAGGAAAAAAACAGTTTATTAATCCTCTATGAAAGATTGACTATTTTCTATGTCTGAACATATAGTTACTTCAGAAAATATTTTTGGTGAAAAATTTGTTATTTGTTGCATGTTATAATAAAAATAAAATGAAATGACATTTTTTTGTTTTTCTAGTAGTGGTCTGAATGTCACATTGGTATGGTTCTTTGGTATCATTAATCTCACCTTTGTGTGACAGACTGTGCTCTCTCCTTCCTCAAACATTTTTCACCATTGTATGGACACAACCAAAAACATCATCCATTCATGCATCCTTGCATGCATGCATGCATGCATTCATTCATTCTGCAAACATTCTTTTGCACCTGCTTCACAAGGCATTATGCAAGTGGCTGTAGAGACAAATGAGACTTGGTTTCTGCCCAAGATCGAGTGGGGGAAATGAGATATAAACAAAGAACTCAAAAACAAGGTAAAATATGATAAATGTTGCAAGAAAGCTACAGAATGTTATGGGAGCCACAGAGTAGAGAAAAACTGCATACATTGTAGATGATAAAGGGAGACTTCATGGATTTGGTAGCATATGCTTGAATGGGTAGGGGAGATGGGACAGAGCCTTTTTGAAGATGGAATAGTACAGAAGTAGAAAAATGTGAGATGTGACTGTGGATCAAATGGTGCTTTGGTCTAAGTAGAATATAAAATCCTAGAAGAGGGATAGGAAGAGGTAAACTTGGAAACACAGTTTGGGGCCAAAACAATCTGAATCTTAAGTGTTAGGCAAAGGAGTTTATTAGGTAAGAATTTAGGTGGTAGAATTTTTTTAGCAAAGGACTCATGTGATCAATGCTATTTCATAAAGATTAAGAGCAGTGAGCACTGTAGCATAAGAGAGAGAGGAGATAAGAGGAGAGGAATAGGATAAAAAAAGAATAATGCTATACATAGAGGAGGAATGATCTAAGGACAAAACCTTGAGGAGTATCCACCTACTTTTAGTGGTTGGGAAAGTAATAGGAGACAGTAAAAGAATTAGAGAAAGAATCTTCAGACAGGAAAGTGAAGAACTAGACAGTGATTTATTTTGTAACCAAAGGGAGAAAATTTCCAATCAAGAAAGAGTGATAATGAGGGCAGGGGTCTTCTTGTAAATGTTTAATGACAAATTTCTGAGATGTAAATACTCCCATGGAAAATTTAAAAATGGATTCTTAAGTCATTTTGAGCTCACTTCAGCACACCTGTGGGACAGTGACAACAGTGACATATGCAGGAGGGAATTTGAGATGGAATATGGAATAAAAACATGATCAGTGACTTTATAAAGAAATTTAAATGAAATAGTAGGAACAAAATTCAGTTTACAAGAAGTTGAGGAAAGGAATGGTGGGGAAGAAGGGACTGGGGATGTATATATACTACAATGAGTTTCATTATGAAAGGCAGGCCAAACTTTTAGTGAAATAAATCTGAACTGAGTTATGGTCCTGTATGTATCATTTAAAAAAAAATCTTTAGTACATTTTTGCAGTCATTGTTCGAGTATGTAAATGAGGTATAGTGAGTGTTGGCTGCATTAGGTCACCTCTAAGGTTCTTCTGATCTTTATGGTATAGATTTCCAGAAGGAAAGTTACAGAAGATAGAATGAGAGCTCAAGCAGATAGTGAAATTGAGGATTTCCCCTAACCCTTTTCAGAATATGGAAGACTTGAAGGAACTAGTGGAGAGAGACAAATTAGTGATTCAAAATGGAAGAGTTAATTGCTTTACCATTGTCTAGGAAGAAAGAGGAAACCAGGGAACACCCAGGATAGGTGAAAGGGTTAAGATGGAAAAGAAGAGTCACTTCTTCCTTTGAAACAGGGCAGAAAGCATGAGAGAATAAGTGAAAATATTTTGTGAGTGAGAGGATGAAAGATAAAGGAAGTCATGTCAGCTGATCTTGATTGTTTCAGTAAAGTATTTAAAGAAGTTATGGACTGAGAGTGGGAGGTAGGAGTGGAATTAAATAAATGAAAGTATTTTGCTATTTTTATTATACTATAAATGTGAGGTTTGATACATTTTCCAAAGGGCAACAATTGAAGTTCTCTTTCTCTTCGCTGTACTTATTTATTATAAATGAATTGCTTCAATAGATTGACAGCTGTGACTGATTGATGCTTACTCTGTTCCAGGAGGTGTGGCTACAGCAAAGCAAAACAAGACCCAGAAGAGGAAAAAATGCATTTTCATAATGGGCACAGTAAGCACATTGTACAAATTTGCCCACAGTTCTCTTTGACTTAAGTTTACATTTCTGGCTAGGTATAGTAACATAATGAACAAAAAGATAGTTTTGCTGTTTCTTTTCTTAATATCAAGTCTTCTATGAAGAACAGAGTATTCATGCATGGTGATTAGGTATTGAAAAGTAATTGGTAGAGTTTGAGCAACTCTTTGCTGCAACTTTTGAACACTGCAGGAATTTCAGTAAAATCCTCTTACATAGTATGAAAAATGTCATATTTCCAACTAAGTCTCTAAGTTAATTCTAATTTATATAAACTCAGTGGAGAAAAAAATCTATCATATTAATTATGGAAATTGAGTGTAAATGAAGTTTAAAAAAAAACCTTTAGTATTCCCTCATTAAGCCTTTTCCCCCTCTTATCTTATTTAGATGTTCTCTTGCATTAGATAAGAATTTTCTGGAACAGGTCATACAGACCACTTAGTCTCAAATGACATGGGTGATTTTAAAAGGTTATAGAAATTTAAAGCATTATAATTTAACAAAGAAATGTAAAATGGATTCATGCTCTCTGGTTTGTTAATACTAAGCCAGTATTGCTTCGTGAAATGTGATGCATCTAGAATTTTCAAAATGATCTAAGCTACCATACCAAGACAAGTGAATGCCAAGTACAATATGTGGTACTTCTGATTCTGGTAAATGTCCCATTGCACAAGCACCAAGGAAGAATCTCTTTCAATTTTTATTGTATATGCCCAAATTTGGCAAAATGTAACTGTGCTTGTAAAAGGAAACTAAAACTTCCCTCCTGTTTTGTTGTCAAACTCCTGGATAAAATTACCTTCCCTAACCCACTCCCCTCCCAAAAAAGGAGGCATATGTGTGTATGTATATATGTATGGGTATACAT